CAAAACCATGGTTAATTGCTTTGAATAGGTTTTCTAATTAATGGTTCCCAACACTAGTTCTATAGATACCAAGACAATTAATCTCATTTCTTGTAATAGCTATATACACAAAATGTTATGTTTTGTCAATACATATTTCAAATGTCAGTACACGTGCCACAGTGTACAAATTTAACTAACAAAGTGTTTATAATTCCTTTTCATTCAATTCATTCTTTTGCACAAAAACTTGATCTGCTTTTCTATTGGTCAAAGTTTACATTTTACCAAACAAATTCAACAAACAAAGGGCTAGAAGTAGTACATAAAACTTGGAAACTAAGCCAGAAAACATAGGGAAATATTTTGAATTAATGCATACCTTTTCTATGAACATCTTTTGTACGGTGTAATTAAGGTTGCCTTCCCAAAACCCTTCATCTCCATATTTTGTCAATTTCACTAATTGCAATTTTTTAGGGGTGCTGCATTCCCCGTGAGAGAAGATCTTCATATTTGGGCAACCCATCACAATTACTTCTTCCAAAGATACGAATTCAAAGCTGCAGCTCCCCGAGCAAAAGCTTGCCAATCTTGGTAGACCACAAAGTTGCAAATACTTGAGTCGGCTAAAGACAATGCCATCCTTCGCTTCATCATCCACACAAGCCATAATTTCTTTTAACATATGACATTCACTTATACCCATTCTTGTGAGTTGCACCATGCTTTTGGCTGTTGAGTATTCAATTAAATTTATGAGTTCATGACAATCAGATACTTCTAAAGTTGTCAAATTCTTGAAAGATATGAAGGATGGCACTAAAATCTTTAATTTGCTACACTGTAGCACTTCAAGAATTTTCAGATTAGAGAAAACTGAATCCAAATTTGATTCTTCCTTCCAGAGACATGTTAACTCGTGAAGTTCAGACAACCTCAATCCACTTAATTGAATAAGTGCAGGTGCAGGTGCAGGTTTTTCCACACCACCAAGTCCTTGACATTTGAATATTTCTTGAAAGGGAGCTCTACTCACAACAAGCTTTTCAAGATTTGGAGATTGAAAGACAAAAGGCTGGACAACTAATTGCTCAGGGAACTCGGTGAACTCAAGAACTTTTAGTTTGGGAAAATAATCCCCTGGAATATGCTGCCCATGCCATATCTCTTTCATATTATCATTATATGCCAATGTCAGTTCTTCTAGACTGGGGAATGTAGCCTGAAATATGGAAATAAAAAGATATTAAAAAATGAATAAAAGAAGAAGGATGCAAATATGGTTTTGGAATATAAATCATTTTTTTTTTTTTAATATTATCTCTAAAATTAAAAAAAAAATGGTTTTCTTAAGCAGCCCATAAAGAAACAAAAACAAAGAAAGAGTATTATAGATTATGCTTATGAATATGTTCAGACAGGAGAAAAGCTTTAATTTAATGCAAGTACATCATACACCTGAGCAAACTTTTTTTGAATTATTGTTTAGAGCTCTTACCTTGCCTGTCCAGAAAAGGGAATATTTAATATCAACTTCAAGTTGGTCATCCCCATTTGCTCTTGGGAAGCTTGAGAGTTCTGAAGCAAATATCTGTACTTGTTTACATCCACACACGTTCAATTTTTTCAATGATGGCCATTCAAAAGTATGCTTTTGATGACATAAGAACTTCAGTTTGCCCAGATAATAAAGATCTAGCTGTGTCAATTTTGGAAACACAAACTTTGCAACAGATTTCGTCAAAGTTGGTGGCGTGAATTTTTGAGTTTGTGACTGGCCAACATCAAGCCCTTGAGACTCAAATATCTCTTCAAGTGAATCACACCACCGTATCTCCAACTTATCTAGCCTCTGAAGCCTTTCCAGCATACTAAATGGGAAAATATTTAGTAGCTTGTTACATGAATTCACACTAAGATAATTTAGATGGCAAAAAGAACTTGTATCAAGTTGGTTGTCCCATATCTTGTCCAAACTTTCCATAAATTTAATCGTTAGTTGCTCAAGCTTGGGGAATGTCACCTAAAAAGTTACCAAATTGTATTAAAAAAACTAAACAGAATTAGACAAATAATGGAACGAAAAATTTTTGGAATCTAATTTTCAAAAGAACGTAAAATTTTGAGGCGATCCATGAAGTAGAATTACAAGACATTAATAAGTGAAAAATAAAGAAAAAGCAGAAAGAAGAAATTACCTTTGCGTCAAATAGAGGAAGTGTACCAGTGTCAAAACTAGAGCTTGATGAGATGAACGTCTTTAATACAGGGCAGCTCATGATCAAAAGTTGCGAAAGGCAGGGGAATTTGATGTAATTGCCGTGGCAGAATCTTTCTAGTTTTGGAAGGTCTTGTATCTCTAGAATCCTCAGTTGAGGGAAAACCAAATTCCCATTTTCTTCTACATTCTCTATAAAAAGAACCTTTCCCATCTTCTTGCATCCCCCTATTTTAAGGTGTTCAAGCATTACCAGATCTCTAGCCACAGAAGATGTGAATAGATATTCCAAATTATCACAGCCCTCAATGATCAACTTCCTCAGTTTTGCAACATGAGAAGATGATATCGAAACGTGCCATATGGTCTTAACATTAATCCAAGATAATTGTAACTCCTCTAGGTTCGGAAATGCAACCTGCACAACGTACAATTCTTCTTCTGATTAAACTTCATGACTTCGGTCATAGATAAAAATAGGATGATATCATGTTAGAAGCCGTAGAGTTTAGGTACGACTAAAATAAAAGTAATGCAAAGTAAAGAGGGTCATTATAAATTAAAGAGGAGTATTATATTTATCTAGTTTTTCTAATATATATAAAATTAAAGAGTCATTATTTAATACACTGCTTCACAGAATTATAAATAATGAGAAATTAATTTTATCTTTTTATCAAAAAATGTGAAATGGTTCCCTCAGCGTTTTGGACTTGGGATTCAGTCCTTGATGGACTTCTTAAAATTGGAGTATAGTTCTTCAAGTTGGTTTAAGTGTTGTTCAAGGGAAGATTGTATTAGTCACCCCGAAGCCAAAGAGAGTTTGAAAGTAACGAATACAACTCTTAATCAAAATAAAATAAATAAAATAATATAGTTCCAATTATCCTATTGTGTATAGATAATATTTCTTAAATATAATTAAGAAAACTAAATATATAGTTTTCACAATTTTTAACTGTTAATAATTTTAGTCTACAAAACGAATCAGCATATAATTTGTTGTGCCATATGATCTATTTGTGCTTCGGAAACGACCAACAGAAGAGGTTACCAAGATAGACAAAAGCAGAAATTGCATCATAGGGCCAATGTGACGGAACTAGGCGAAGGTAACTGCACCATTAATTCCTACATATATATATATATATATTGAGTGTGTACTGGTCTTGGCATGCCTTAAATTAATAGGCACCACTACAAGAAGTATGTGTGTGCGGTGAGATATAATTTGAGATTTGGGTGCCAAGTGAGAATGTTGTTTATAAGTAATTCTGTAAAGGATTAAAAGTATTATAAATGAAAAATTCTACTTTTGCTGATAAAAAAATTCATAAATTTAAAACTAGACTTCTATTAAAATGAAACAGAAGAAGAGATCTTTTGAAGTAAGTTGTGTTAGATTTACTTAATTAAAAACAACATTAAAAACTCCAAATTAAAATACCTCATCAGCTGAAGATTCTTTTTGTGAAGAATTTCTTCTTATTAACTCAAAGAAACGATGTAACGATAATTTCAAAGCAAAAACACGAGAAATGACACAGACATTTAGAATGATGGATGGCAGTAGACTTGATGGACTTCTTAAACTTTTAAGTTTTCGTAAAGGGAAGATTGTATTGGTCACCCCTAAGGCAAAGGGAGTTTGAAAGTAGCGAATACAATTCTTAATCAAAAAAGAAAAAGAAAAAAAAAAAAGCAGCGCTGATAAGACATAGGCATCATGAATTGAAACCTCTATAAATAGAACGGGTTTCTCTTCTCATTGATTTCCACGTTATACAGTGGTTAAAATCTAATGTATGGTGGGTAGGGAGTAACAAAAAAAAAGGTAGTGTCTAATACGTGGTAAATAATGAAAGTGAAAAAGTAGAAAGTGAGTAATGGATAATCAATAGTGGATTATGATTGATATAATTGTTTAATTATATAATAATTAATAATTATTATTTGATAATAAATAATTAATAAAAGTATTTTTAAAAACAATTAAGTGTATTTTTAAAAATAATTAAATATATT